GGGGGGGGGGGGATGTATTCGCGGTAAGGTATTTGATTATTATTATTTCCTCCTTTCAGTTGAGGATTGGCTCAGCGGAAGAATGACTGAATATTTCTCCCCTTCACTTTCGGACATGTATCATAAATTCCTACATACCGAGCTCAAAGTTCCGACCTCCAACCCCGGTTCGTCACATTCCATCACTCGAATTTTTGCACCTTGCCGAACACGCGAATCCCGAACAGCACTCTTCGCGTATTCATACGATAAACCCCCCACTAGTGGTGAGCCGACGTATTTGCAGGAAAAAAAATAAGAGAGAGGGGGGGGGGAGGGGAGAGAATCGGTTCCACGAACCATTTTCGTGGAGTTGTGGGAAATAAAATGGATACCATAGAAAAAGACAGAAAAAAAAAGTGATTTCAGCCCTAGAAAGTCAATTTTTGTTTTTTTAGCAATACCGTAACAGACTTTCGGACACAGGACCCAGACCGGAATGCACAGACGTCCGTCAATTTTTTACTCCCTTCCCCTTATTCCACTCCCACCCTTCCACATGTAACTTCCGTTAACCCTCTCGGACCAATCGCTCGCATGCCGGTATGATACTCAGTGCCATGCCTACAAGCCCGAATCATATATATACATATATTGGGGTTTTCAATGACACTAACCAATAAGCTCGGGGGAAGGGTAGTCGATCCCTGTGCGGTGGCGGTGGGAAGAATATTTCCACAGGACCTCATGTGAGATATCAATCACGGAACACCCGAATACAAACGTCCCGCTCGGAATATGCGGTTCGCCATTGATTCGTTGGACCATATCCTTGGGCGAGGGGTACATTTTTCAGTAACGAGTTAAACACGGGGAGTTGCATTAAGGCTACTTTATGGTGTTGGCCAATAACACGGTAGTGTCAACCCATTTTGAGTATGATAGCATGCTTTTTTTTTAATGAGCTAAGGTGACCGAAGGTGAAGAGTAGAAGAGTACTACTTTACGGTAACTTGAAAGGTGAAGCAGGTCTTATGATACCAGCATGGCGGAGACTCTGCCCGTATGAACGGGGGGAGGTCGGGGCTAAGGGATCCTTGCTGAATAGAGTGGATACGGTGATCATTCTCAAAGCATCATACCGTATGCTATGATATAACGTTAAGGCCTTGTGATTTCTTTTTGCTCCATTCCATGTATTGTTTCTGAGGCCTACCGGTGGTAGAGTTCGGGTGTGATAAGTTGTGTACCGGTACTACAGAAGGTATCATACCGACCTCTCGACCTTAGTGAGAAGAGTATTGTATTATTATTTTTTTAACTTTGAAGGACCTTGCGGGGGTGTGTACTCGTACTCGAGTACAATACTGCCCCCTACCGAGTACCGTACTTGTATTTGGGTATCATACCGGTATTCCCAGTTGCATCCCGGTACATACATACAAGGGCAGATCATGAATTCATGGTACTTGTACAGAGCAGGGATCAGAGGCTGGTTAGCAATACAATAGTACCGTACTCGAGTACAGTGGCCAGAGGAGGGGTGCCTTAATTTTGTTCAAATAAGCGCTACTGAGTTCAATAAAGCAGGAACTATGGAGCCAGAACATAGTGTAATCATGGCCAACCATTACTAATTAATTTTTTTCTCCTTTCGTCTTCCTTATTACTCATTCATGACCCTGTGTTAGAAAGCATTCTTTTTCGAGTGTTCCAAAATTCCGCACAAGAAGGAGGGTAACCACCCCTGCTCTGTACCATGAATTCATGACCTAATCCTTGTACCCTGCTCCCGGGGTGCTTAGGTAATTTGATCATATCAGATCATCCGATAATAACCCTCAATTTTAACCCTAACGTCATGAGAGGTCACTCGTCTCTAAATACTACCACACTGTCATACTCATATGATATTCTCTTTGTGTTCACCTCATTTACGATGACCCTTCTCTGGGACTATTCTTAGGTCACGGCAGCCATCACAATCACCCACACTGTAGCCGAGTTACCCGATCTGTGCGATTTGAATGAAAAAATGGTTTCTTCGTGTTTGGGGTTCGTTATGAGCTTTCCCCCACGCCCCCTTTCTGAGCTAGATCTCTGCTGGTTCATCATCGTGAGCGGAGCCACAGGGATATCAGATTATATATCATTATATAAAACACGGCTCATTAAAGGCCCCGAATCATAACGCTCCTTCCGTAATCCCTTCACCTTGCTGCCCAGCCAAAACGTGGCCAATGTCTCCGGTAGCGGAGAACAACGAAACCCGGGACCCAACTCTAACTGACGCTGCGGGGGAACCTGTGATCTCACACGCCGCCTAATGTTAGCGGCCGTGCGCTCCAAACCAGACCCCCCCCCCCCCCTAATCTCCGTTCGACCTCAAAGCTCACTGCTTGTGATATCTTAGAGATCTGGATCCGTCGGGAGGGAGGCCTGAAACTAAAACTCCCCTTAGGGTAAAATTGCAAGCATATATAGCCCTAAGCTAACGCCGGTAAATTTCGGCTATCCACCCGGTCATGTAAGCTTGCTTCTCATGAGAGGCCGGACTACACAGTGGTTACCGAGGGCTAAGAAAGGTAGGGTTATCTCCACAGAGAGAGAGGGAATGATAACTTGGCTAATTTTGTATCTAAAGAGTATCTCTACATTTACTTCCTTCTGCCCTTTCGCTTGCACTCATAAAGACTCTATGTTGTATATACGCACGATCCAATAGTGTTATTACCCATCATGTAGTATCACTCGGCATTGAGACTTTGGGCGTCCAAACCCCGAAAAAAGTCCATGTTCTCTGGATTGTGATACTGGAACGGGCATGCTGGGCTATTGGCTGTAAATTTTGGGAGAAGGGCGATGGGTTGATGCTGGGGTACTTCACATGGGTTTGAATTCAGAACTAGATACGCCACAAAGATAATCATATGAGAGAGCTAAGAACAAAGGGAAGGAAATTTTCGATTAAGGTACAAACATGAAGCCATTGCAAGACTTGTGGGACAGGAATTAATCATGCAGTTCATTTTATCGCTTTGAAGCAGCGCGTCTATGTATGAGAGAAGACAAACTCCGACCCCGCCATTTTGCTTTTTTTCTTCTTCCAGTTGGGTAGGCCAAAAACCTTTACTATCTGTAAAAAAGTTACTCGAATCTATGAAACAACCCCAGCTTCGTAAAACTACATCCCACCGACCGGTCCGTGCATTCCGGGACCGCCTGCCCCTCCGAATGGCCCCTGTCGAAAGTTTATGGGCGTAGCTGAGCCCACGATAGGATTGCCCCCCCAATGTTGTGATTGCTGGTGGTTTTGGTATGGCATCCCGCCAAAGGGCGGAGTTGGCCTATCGAGTGCAGGAAGGGCGGACTGCGACCTCGTGGGCATCGGAATCCCCCCGTTGGCAATTGGAGGAGTGCTCCATCCGTTCCCAGGCATAGGGGGTTGCTGCTGTGGTACATGGAACCTCTGATTACCCAATACTTGGTTGCCAACCGCGTAGTTGGATGGGCTGGCATAGGGATGTCTGTTGGCGGTGACAGGTATAGAAGCAGCCATAGGAGGACCTGAATGCTGACCATGGAGGGGGGGCTGAACGTTAAAACGCTGACTGGCAAAGTTGGTGGACATCATTAAGGAGCTCGGTTGGGGATTCCCATTGTGAAAGCTTGCGCTTTGCTCTGGATGATATCCATTGCGTGGTTGCTGTTGGGGAAAGATGTTTGGCCCGACATGACCCTGGCTAGGGGTAGGAAAAGATCTATCCGCCTGTGGCGGGAAATTGCGGTTTGGGTGGGTTGGCATGAATGATTGTGGCTGAGATTGCTGCGGAGGCGTGAAGCTAGCCAAAGGAGGTGCAAATGGGGATGGATTGAAGCTTGGAGTGTTTGGATTGAAGCGCGACCCCCCAGAAATGTTAGAATTGTTTTGACCTTGGAGTCTGGGGTCCTCGTATTGGGGAAAGTAGTATGGGTTGGCCGGGGGCGCTGGGGTCGGCACAGCATAAAACTGAGATCGCCCATGGAATTCATCCGGCTTTTCTTGCTTTCTTGCCTTTTCGTTCGATTTGGAGGGTGCTGGTGTTTCAGGTGGGGACTCGACAAAATCTTTAAAAATGCGAGCTCGAGCTTCCTGATAAGCCTGCTCCCTCTCCTCCCGAGTAGTTACCCTTGCTGAACCGTCGCCGGAAGAACTTTCCGATGCGGTCTTCTTGGGGAAACTACCGTTTTGCTGCTCGGGCGGGGTATCTGATCCCCGGTTCGACGTAGACCTCTGCATTATCTTGAAACTAGATTTCGTCGCATTTGCCGCTGAAGAGCCGGGAATTGCATTCGGGGGACGCCTGTCTGAAAGCCGTACCGGCGGTCTGCACGCACGGGTTAGCACCATTTCCCCAGTGGAATGATTGTTCGCACTTACATTCTGGCAAACTGCCCCCGATAGAGGCGAACGGATGTACCACTATTATCTGCGACATGAGTAAGCCTGTAGTATTCGGCCATTTTGTGAGTGAGTAGCCGGTGATAGGCATTGATGGGTGGCATGTCGAAAACATCGGAGCTAGAAAACCTTAGAATGGGATTGAAGAAAAAAAAAAAAAAAAGGAGGAAAAGAGAGGTTTTAAGTACCTGTTTTTCTCGATAAAATCAATAACATCCTGCTCCAGTTTGATAACGAACAAACGGTCTCTCTGATTTTCGAGGGCATCTAATAGGCGCTGGTCGGGTTCGTCTATCAACATTTCCACACTCGGGTGTGTCGAGGGTGGAGGGGGAATTGAAGCTGATTTTTGTGAAGACACCACAATCACAGGTGGGGCTTCGGCTCCATCCGAGCCGACTGGTCGCTTGAGCACATCGAATCCGTCACCAGATGTTGGGTAGCCAGGCCGAGCAGAGGTATCCCCCGCGTGAGAAGCGGGTCCCCGGAGCTTAAACTAGGCTTAGCGATTGGATCACCCGTAATTTTAATTCCAGAGGATGGAGGAACGGGGGAGAAGAGCTGTTGGCCCAGCTATCGAACTCACCGAGGTACTTGGAGCATCGCCGTTAGGGGGCACTAATGTGACTGGCGGGATACCCACAGCGCACCGGGACGAGCTGTCTCCATTGGAGAGGAGGTTGTCCGTCTCGAGCTTGAGACCGCTAAAGGATTCTTGGAGCCGAGGAACATCATCCGTACTCGAGAGAGATGGCTTGGCGGGCTGAGCCAAAGCTTGAGGAGTGGAATCCTCAAGGTCGGAGAGTTGGGTAGAAGATGTGGAGGGGGAGGAGGAAGAGGAAGCAATCCCACCGACGGTATTTGGTGGTGTCGGGATATCGGCGCAAGCTTGGGTAGCAGGTATGGAAGAATCCTCCTCATTGGACCCTTGCGCATCCTGGAGCTGCAAAGACATGGCTGGTGAGTGTGGTGGGGAGAGATGAAAGGAATGGAAGCGCATATGCTGTACCTTGGAGTCGACCATAGAATAATTTTGCGGTTGAATAGGAGCTAGGGCAGAGGAAGAAGAGGGGGGACAAGACATCTCCAAAGGGCCAAGGTAAAAGGGAGGAAGAAAGACAACGAGATCAAGGACGCTCAAAAGGAAGTGATTGGAGACTGCGAGGCTCCCGAGACATGCTCCAACGGACAAGCTGACATTTGGGTATGCGAAGTTGTAGCAGTCGGCGGGGTTGTTGTGGGGGAAGGAGGGCCTTTAAATATTGCGGTTGCAAGACGGTGGTGGGAGAGGGCACTTCTCCCTCTGTCTCCTTTTTACTTTTTTTTTTTTTCCCCCGGGTTGGCGGCGGGGCAGGGCAAGGGAAGAGGGAGAGTTTGGGCAGTAGGGGCAGTGGGTAGGAGGAGTAGAGTACGGTTGTTGAGTGAGGAGGATAGAGGGAAGGGGAGGGAAGTGGAGAGAAGAGAGGGAGAGGGAGGTTTGGGGGGGGGGGGGGGAGCCAGCGGCAAAGCTACAGTGAAGGAAGAATCACAACTGATCCAAAGGGTGCTGCCTGGCCTGGTCAGAATTGGCGAATAGGAAGGAAATCTCTTGGCAGAGGATTTTCTCTAAGGAAGATTGCAGTATCGGCATTTGTGTTTATGTAAGCACAGCTGATGACACTTTTCTTCCCCTTTTCCTGTTTCCCTCTTATCTTTATTTTTATTCTTATTTTACATTTTTTGCCGAGCAGCTGTCATAGTGCTGTTATGGTACTCGAGTACTCGTAGTATTCGGGGAAACGCCCATGATGATGAGATCCAAAGCCGGCCGGCTCGCGGATGAGATAATGACATTGTGCAAGAATCTTTTTTTCTTGGTTGGGACGAATGTGCTGTATGGTGCTAGTAAATGGTTCTTACAGTTTGTACTCGAGTACCGTACAGCTATTGTATCTGCATCTGAATCGGCATTTTACAGTTATGGTCTATATCATGACGGTTGGATCCACGGCCTTGCACCTGTGCTATAGCGCTCTGGGTTGCCACTGCCCTTTTTCCGCCTGTTCTGTGAGACGATGCTGGCAATGCTGGCGTGCTCGAGTACTCGAGTACACTGTGATGATGCGGTATCACATATACGCACAGGTGTGAGCCCCATTCTCCGTAGCCACATTCCCTATCATACCCACCCTCAATGCCAGCAGTTAACCCTCGCCCGCACACACACCTCCTGCTGAGTATTGTACGATCGTACAAGACGGTACCAATACCTGCCCTGCTCTTGCCTTCACACTCGCCATACGCAAACCAACCCTTCTATCATTCATATCATACCTTCAAGCTTTTTTGCTCCCCGGCATCGATCCTCTATGGTTCACCCTTCGAAATCAGCGAGCAAGCGTCTAAATTCGGTTTGCCCATAGCCTAGAGCCTCTCTGTTCTTTCTTTCTCTCCCTCACCAACACCGCTGACGCCCCCCACAACAATCACCTCTTCCATCAATGAACCGCTACAGAGGTCCATTCTCATCATCGGCTGCCTCTTCTAAAGCAACCCCTACCACACGCTGCCAGAAATGTCTTAAACTGGGTTCGCACATCCATCCTTCCTCTCTTTTGCTGGTTAATCTGTTGCTTACTCGCACCGCGTTCTCAGGCCACTATAGCTATGAGTGCAAGGCGACTATATCTGAAAGGCCATACACCTCGCGACCCTCACGTACCCAACAGTTTCTGAACCCTCGTCTCCGCCAGGAGCTCACGGAAGCTGCGCCTCCGTCTGATGTTGTGGTTAATAAGAAGAAGGGCACCGCCGACGAGATTCTCATGAAGAATAAGAATGAGAGGGAAGCTGCGCGTTCTCCGGAAGTCCGTGGGCGTAAGCGGAGGCGTAATAGGTATGCCACACCTCTGGCTTCGTGGATCGTAGATTCTCAACTCCTAACCTGATAATAAAGCACCTCGCCTTCGCCGGTTCAATCGCGTACCCGCTCCATCTCCACAGGCTCCTCTTCGACATATTCCAGCATATCATCCGGACGCTCGCCCACGCCTCCCGTGTACTCGCAAGAGAATTCCATGGTTCATCACAATTCTTCTAGGAGACAGAGTAATAGCCATGCTCGCGACGACCATGATCGATCTGTTCGCAGAAAGTATCGTGATTCTCCTAGCCCTAGGAGAAGGGGTCGCAGGTTGAGTCCTACCGATTATCCGCGGAGGACGAGGAGCCGAACTCCAAGACCGACTCACCGGCGCTCAATTACACCCCAGGTTTACAATGATCGGAAGGGATCGCCGGTGAGGAGCCGCCAGGTGGACGAAAATCGCCCTACCAGAGCCAGTCCCTATAGAGAGCGAAGTCTCAGCCCCTTCACCAGACGGAAGCTTCTCACTGAGCGGATGCAGAGGGTTCCAGGGTAACTACTAATTCTATTTTTGAGCGAGCAGGTGGTTTGACAGCGGGGAATCTCGCCTTTTATGAGCACTGTTAGTATCACTATTGGCATTATAATACTTTTTTTTTTTTTTTTTCTCTATTCCCTATTCTCATTCTCACTACTTTACTTTTTTTTTTTTTTTTT